TATCTAATAATAATAATGTTTCAACAATGATTAAATTTTTCAATATTACACTTTTCTAAATTCTGAAGTAACAAAAATATTTGTTACTTCAGAACAAGTAAGGAACAAGTGAACATTTTCGATATAAAAATTATTTTTATCAGATTAAAAAAAACTACCATTATGGAAGAAGGAATCGAATCCGGGCAAGCAAATATCCCAGGAATTTTTCTTCAGCGGTAGGTTCGAAATATGTTAGGCCCCGTCTCTTATTATCCGGGTCATCCGCATTGTGGGCTTAGTCCAAAACCAAGATGAATTTGGGTAAAAGGTCCTCTTAGTACACACAGCGCGAAAAAACTTATCTGCTGTTCTGATGGATTCCAGGTTCAAATCCAGGTTAGCTCAAAAATTTTCATTGATAGATTAACCCGGATATATCTATCTCCATCTCATTATAGAGAAAGGCCGTCTTAGCGCCTATAGGGCGGAAAAAACTGCTTTCGTCTCAATGCAGAATATATATTAGAATGTAATGAGTTTTCTGCAAAAAAAATTAACTATTGTTTTTTTTCTTTTCTTTCTGTTTACTTTTCTCAACAGAACAAAATCTGCTTAAATACATGAAATTTCAAAATACATTACTTTGACTATTATAAGATATATATAGCCTATATATAAGTAATATATTTCTTAATAAATATTATTATGGAAAACTTTTTGTAATCATTCAAGTCTGTAGAAATGAATTTTCTATAAACTTTCTTTTCATTCCAATATTTCACTTAGAAAGAAATATGAAAATAATGACATCATAGAAATCAATTATATCATTGGTTAATTTACTAAAACCTTTGGGCTAAACAAAATATAATTTACGTTCATATTGACAGAACGTTTTTACTTTATGCTTCCGATTCTTCTCTCCTGAGCAGAAAATTATTACAATATCTTTAACTAAAGAAAGATAAATATAATAGCGAGGTAAACTTTAAAATAATGAAAATATTGAATTTCTTTTTGACAATAAAGTAAAGTTTGACTTTAACCATTCAGATTACTTTCCATGCAAACTATTCACACAGCTTAAATCAATATTTTACAGAAAGCATATGAGTGTAAGAAAGGTTTTGTCTTCATTTTATTTATTATTTTTTGCACAGAAAATTAAATTCTATTTCTAAGAACAGATTAGTATGTCCATGGTCAGATTTAAAGATTTCTTCGACATTTAAACTGATTAAAATGAGATTCCTTATGCTATGATTCCTTATAACAAAGTTTCACTTAATTTTAAACATTGATTCATTTAATGGTTCAACTAAAACAATATTTCATGCAAATAGCTTTACTTGTAATAAAATTATTGAGATTATTATACGCAGAAATCAAGAACGATGGGCATTACCTAGACATCTAAACTTCTTTACAAGAGTTATCCATTTAATCACTTTGTTGAAAATTTCTTCAGAAAAACAATTCATTAGCATCATTTTGAATAAAATCGAGTTAAAAACATGATATTTAGATAAGAAATCATATGAAGAAAGTAAGAATAAATATTATTACTGAATCATTCAAATAAGATATTAGAAGGAAAAATTAATCTGTTTAAACTAATTTAAAAGACGCGAACTATTCAAAGACGATAATCATATAAATGTACAATATTTACTAACATGATTGTTATTTTAAAATATAGCAATAAATTAAATATTTAGATCTATGGAATACTAAGTAAAAATTCAGTTCTTTATATTAAAAGAAAAACGAATAAATGAAAGATTCCTGAATTCTATTTTTTTTCAAATCTAAGTTAATTCTTTTACGTTTATACTATTAACAATGAACGAACCTATATAGTATTAGAGAAGTTGCGGCCGAAGTTCAAACGTTAAACTTGTACGGCAAGCAGAAGACACGTTTTACCTCCAAGTAAAAAACGTTGCGACACACGTTTACGTCGCGCAACAGATCCTAATTGTTGGGTTGTTGAAAAATGGCGGAAACGTTTAACAACGATGAGTATTACCAGTGAAGGTAAATAAACAAATTAAACTATTTTAAAGTATTTATAGAATGTTTAATTACACTATATAATTATTTTTAATTAGCGTCGTGTCTCCTACCGTACGATAAGACGATGGGACTACCCCATATTTTTGTTGAAGGAAGTAGTGGCTTATGTAAATCCGAAAGCAGCTCGGGAAATTATTTTTAGAAAATTTACAAACGTATTATGCTGTTGATGGTAGAAGATGCTGTGAAAGAACAAACCTACTCCTACAGAATTATGATAAGCTATTATGAACAGAATTATATGTAAATTCTATAAGCATTTCACATCACTTGCAAAAAAATTGAATAATTAAATAATTTCTGGATTAAAATAGTCTGTTTTTTTGGCATTATTATTCATAAATGCTTAAATAAATCATTATTTTAATAAAATACGTCATAATTTTAACCCTAACACAAAAAAATGAAGTTTAAGTCGACCTTCTACCCACCATGCTACACGTAGCAAACACCATTGCCAACCTTCTAGAATTGCCAGATGGCGGCGCTCGACGTCCGACGTTCACGTTTTTGCGATGAAAACGTCGGCCGCAACCTCTCTATCAATATCACATAATAAACTTATGTCGCAAAAACTGTATGATATAATTAAATTAATTTCGAATTGCATTTATTGAATTATGAATTGCATACAAGGCGATTTAAATTTATATATCTAACATAAAAAGAAGAATGTTAGTTTGTTCTTTATACATTTCGACATGGTTTGAGCAAATGCAATGAAACATTTTCAGGGGCAGTCTTATCATCAAGGTCAATGACTACTTTTGTTTGAATTAACTTCAATCGTAAGTCGTAATTCCCCGCCCATAACTTGTCCGCTTTCTGTCTGATCAGTTGCATGATGGTATTCGAATAGGAAAATTACTTAAACAAAGATACCAGCGATTATAAAATATATTTTTAGGTGTTTTTGAGGTGCCATGTTTAAATATTTGATGTATTTTTTGCAAAATTTGATTGTTTGGCAACTTACCATTTGTCCGTGAATAATACTTTATAATTAATATTAGAAAAAAATTGGATATTTCGAATTATCTTCTCGCGCAAGCGAAAGTCAACGACTATTTGCTGTTGAAAGACATCAATTTCTATTTATTTGACCAATGAAATTGTGCCATTTCGTACTATCCGAGTTTCGCATACTTAGCATGCATTCGGAGGTTTTCCAAGGGTGAAGAGTGTGAATCTTCGGTCCGGTGTCATCAAAATATTTTTATTTGTTATATGAATTTACATCACATCGATTTTTTCTCTCTTCTTCAAAGTAGATTTTTGTTGTTTTTATTCTGTTTTGTTAATTTTATTTTTATCTTATTAAATTTATTTAACATTCACTTTATGATAAACATGACAATGGCTAAAATAACTAGACCCTTAAAATAATAAAAAGTAAACTATATTATTTGTTGTTATTACTTTTTGATCTGGCAGCGTCAAGCATATCTACTAGTAAAATATAAATGTAACGTGCAATATATTTAAATAAATTTATATCCACTTAAATGCAAATTCTCTATTCATAAGACTATTTCATGCTTTGTTTACAATAAGTTATTTATATTATCTCTATCATGTAAAATTATAAAGTTATATTGTGAAATTATCTATACTGTATATTAAGAAATTATGTGCATGTCTGTATATATTATTTATTCTGGAAATATAATAATGATATATTATTTGTGAATGAACAATACATATTTTTTATCTGAATAAATACACACATTAACACACATGTAAAATGAAATAATTTGTAAGCTCTAATTATTATTTCACAAATATGTAATTGAATAAGCATTTTTAACTTATGCTCATTGTTATTACTAGACTAAGGCATATTAAGTGTGTATATAACTACACCTGTAAATAGAAAATATAAAAATTTTAACAGATATGTTAACAGATAGTAGTGGTTTGATGATGCATTTCAACAAATTTAATATCATTTATTGATATTTAAAAAAAAAATAATCATTTTAGCATAAAGATGTTTATATAATAAGTTTACACATTTCTTAGAGACATTCCATCANGATGCATTTCAACAAATTTAATATCATTTATTGATATTTAAAAAAAAAATAATCATTTTAGCATAAAGATGTTTATATAATAAGTTTACACATTTCTTAGAGACATTCCATCATACAGAAATTGATCGATTAATTAATTTTTTCAATATGACTCCATTTCTATTTCTTGTATGAACAAATATGAAAATAAAGATAATAAATAGAAATGAATTTTTAAAACGATATCTGTAATATTCTGTACTTCTGTAAAACCAATTTTCGATTTTATATTATAAAAATATTAACAATTCTTCGATAATTACATTAGTTATAATAATAAAAAAACTATATTTAATGAAAAATAATAAAGCTTAATGCATTCTTTTTATTCAAGCTTGAAGTGCAAATTTAATAATCGCGAATGATATTATTATAAGAGTCGGTTTATTATACATTTCTTTCTAGAGGAAAACGATCAATCGACATTACAGTTTAGAATTGACGAAATCGGTTCCAGGATGTCAAAAATTGTGCAATAAAGATCGCCATTATCTTCATTCATTAAATTATAAGGTCAGTCTATTGCTCAATATCTACTAAATTGATTTTGTTAATTTATATTAATAAATCATTTATTTTTCCTTAATTTTCAGTAAGTGATTTATAATGTAATATATGCACACTTATGTTTTAAAACACTTCAGTATACTACTAGTTTTCATAAAAACATTAAAATATCAATAAAACTAACTTCTAGTTATAATCATATGATTATTATTTTATAAATAATTGGACAATTTTATAAAAACAAAAAAATCTCTTAAATTCAGTTTCTCAACAATTAAACCGTATAATTTAATTTTTTAAATATGCAATTAATATAAAAATTTTATTTCTTTGAAAATTAAGTAGCAATATTAAACTCACTTGTACATGTATTTTTACTTTTCCACATTTTGTCGTTTCAACCTCGAAATGCTGAAAATAATTGGAAAAAAAAAAATTAATTTACAAAGACAGAAGAGTATTATATAATTTACATATATAATATACAGTACTGTACATATTTCTATGAATCTATGTTATATAAATCATAATTTTTTGTTTAAAGAAGAAGGTAATTATTTATTTTAATTAAAAATTTCATGTTATAATTTTTGCTTCTGTATCAAGACAAAAATCAACGTAATTAAAGAAGGTATTATTAGATTACACCTACAACTTTACTGCTAACAATTCGAAAATATTATCAGATAGCTACGCAATAAATATGAAATTTTGATTATCTGAAATTTTATCTATTTTTAAATAACACAAACTACAATACGCAAAAATTGATAGAATATCTATTATTAATTTTAAAAGCCATTGTGACAGTTATCTTTACGTTTAAAAGATTACACGAGTAAAGAATTCTTTCACAATCTAAACAAAATCCTAGTTTTTTAACGATAAGACTAAAGAATTGCTTCATAACCATCCGAAAGAACAATGTTATTATTTTAATCGGATACATAAAAATAACAATCATATAGGAAAATCCAGGTTCAATTGGAATAATAATTGTTATTTAAATTTTGTATTCAGTAAAAATGAACTTGATTAATTATGATAAGTAAAAAAACATCTCAAAGTTTCTAGAAGTCTTCACATAATATGAATGTTACTACGGTCAAAACTTTCGTTTCATATAGATAAAGTCATATGAAATGAACTCATTAACTACTAATTCAGAGTATTTTAAAAATACTGAAATTCATGTATGCACGTATTCAAAAACATGTGAAATAATAATCAGAATTCGATCAAAGATTCGTGCCACACAGTTATTTTCCTTTTTTATAGTAAAATCAGTATTACATACGTAAATATTTTTATTACTAAGCTTAATCCAAATTCGAAGTATTCGAATGCAAGATTTTAAACTATTCGATTGCAAAAAAAGTCCTTGTTCCCAAGAACTTGCGCTAAGTATTCGAATACTTCTAGGATGCGATCCTTATTACTTCAAATAAGAGCGAACAAGCCAATTGAAGTTCCAAAAGCTAGTGTGTTGACCAATCGTCAAAAAATCGAATCGCATTACAGTAGTACAGAGACCAAATTGTTTTTTTTACTTCCTCAGGAATTTTAATACTAACTAGCTGCAAGGACCCGCTTCGCTGGATTTTTATTTGTTCGTACATTTGTATGTAATATAGTTTTTTCTTGTATATAAAAGACTTTTTCTAAGTAATCTAGAATCTAGCTGCAAGGACCCGCTTCGCTGGGTTTTTATTTGTGGGCAGAAAGTAACGATAGTGAAGATTAAGATAATTACATTATAGCCAATCTTACCCGTTTTCACAGAATGCAAGAATTAGGTCCCCCGTTTCCAGACTAATTAGAGACCTGGTCCCGATTCGATTTCTGAACGTCTCCTGTTCACGTCCAGTCAAACGAACTATTTTCAACGTTTCTGGAACGTTTACAATCGTTCTATAATCGAACCAATATTCGAATTTTATGTTCGAATTNTGAAAGTTTTTTACTTTACAAATTCTATTTTGTATGCAATTCAGTAATTTATTTTACTTACATTATAAAGTAGATGATACTTATGCATATAGCTATATATATATATATATATATATATAGAGAGAGAGAGAGAGAGAGAGAGAGAGATTAACCGTTTACTCCAATCTCTGCAATTAAAATGTTAATCAACTTATTTTGAAATACTCGGTACTAGTTACAATAATAACAATATTACTTATTTCGTCTGCAAGTGAAATTTTAATTTTCCGTCCTAGCCAAGTCCTAGACGTTCTTTGTACCTAAAAATCTGTTTCTGCATTGAACAGGTTTTCAATAAATTATCATAGAAAATCGCTCAGTTCCGAATAATTTTTTCCGTTCAGGAAGGTTTCCATTTTATCCAGATACCGTTTTGAACTTGTTTTACCATATTTGCTTAATCGTTATTACATATTACTTTCCTTTAAAAGAAAAATATCTTTGTTGAAAAGTCAATTCAAACTAACTAAACTGTATAAATAAATTTTGAACATAAAGAAGCAATTATTTATTGTAACATCGTCATAATGCCGAGCTGCAATGTTTAATCATATTTTAAATAAATTTTTAAATTTAAAATGTATGCCCTCCACCTCAAATTAGTAGTGTCTTGCTCCTGTACAGTACATCATACTTTTCCGTTAGCAACAGAGTCGTGCCGGTCATCTAACTCCTTTCGGGGGAATTTTTTGAATCGTGTTGAATCGGAAGTTCGTGTTGAATCGGAAGTTCGTATTTAAACTGGGCCTCCTGCCCCTAATCTTTCCATATCTGGTCTCGGCTTTCATATAACTCCGTTCTCGAGATTAACGAGCGACAGACAAACGACAGTTGGAATTTATAGGTCTACAATTTTTTCAAATTGCAATCCAATAAACTCCTATCAGTAAAAATAAATACAGTAAATGCAAAGATGTAATGTCTATCTCATTTTCATCTAATTATATTCTGAAATGAACATTCTAATTTCTATTCTAATCTCAATGATTGAGACAAATGTTTACCTGAATCTAATCTATTACAAATGAAAATAGTTGTGCCTACATTTGCATTAATTTTATAAAGACTGATATAGATTATACAGATTTTCAATACAAGTGAAAAGGTTTTCTCCATTCCAAAAATTTCAATACGAAAAATATTAAGCCCATTTTATATTTGTATCTTGGATTTTTTTTACTTTCCCAATTCTGTTACATATAACAAAGGGAAAGTATGGCGATCGGGCAAAAATGACCCCCCCGGAATTTTATAATTTTGCATTTTTGGCCACGGGACCTTAAAACGTCAAGAAATTAAAAAAATCGGTTTTTTTCTGTATGTATGGATGTTAGCATGTGTGCGGCGGGTAAGATTTTGTTTACTTACTTTGAAACTTGATAACTCCAGTGCTTTTTGCGAATTTTGATGGATAATAAGGATACTATTAAATTTAAGAGGGTGGGGAGATAAAATATGCATATCTCGAGTAGGGTCAGACTTAATGACGATTTTACTCATCATTAGCGTTTAAAACTTTTTTCATAAAACCTATTCCTACCTTCAAAATTAAGATTTTTGCCATTTCATAATAATTTAAAATATAAAGACTTTTTATTTAAATAAAATATCATAACAGATGGCGGCGCCACACGCAGTTTTAAATGATGGGAGAGTTTAGCAACTTGTTGCTAGATGTTTTATAAATGCATTTCTGTAACAATTTAACTAGAATAAATGATAAAATGCTATTATTGTAGAGAATATATATATAATTCAATAATAAAAAATAATAAATATAACAAATCCGTAAACATTATTTTAGACACGATATCTAATATATTAATAGCTATATGATTTCTAAAATAATGTTAAAATTATTAAAATTATGAAAAAATATTAATCTAAGTTTTAACTATTTAATATATTATTATTTTTTAAAATTTATTCTAACTTAATGGATGTAAAAACTGCTCGATATTTATTGCTATGGTAATCTAATCATGATTTATTATTCCAAACTGATGATTTATCTAGTTTAGAACTGCTGAGAGAAATCAGATTCAAAGATCACGCAGAGTAAATATAGTTTTTAAATATTTAAATTAGATCAACCAGAAAATTCGATTAAGAATAGTTTATTCATACGATATTATTAATTCAACAATTATTGTTGGAGAAAAGATAATTATTGCTATTATGAAAATCGGATTACACAAAAATAAATTCTCTTAAAATGGATAGTTATTTTGGCATGTAATTTAGTAATTTTCTTCCAAAACTACTTTTACATATGAAGGTTTAAATTTTAAATAACCAATGTTTTATTTTTAAAATCTTTGCTTTTAAAATGGAAAGCATTTTTATTGCTTTTGAATGAATTTTGCTTTAAATCTTACTTAACAATTAAATTTTATTAAAAACTTAAAAGAATAATTTGTTTAAATTTGTTATTATAAAAATTATGTATTGAAAACAAAACAAACAACAATAATAAATAATTTAAATTTGAAATTGCTTATACAGTATTTAAAATTTTAAACAGACTGCATTACATTTCACGATTATCATAAATAATTGTGAATGTAAAGAAGTTTAGTTATGAAAATCTTTAAAAATCTGCTACTTTAAATTTTCTTTACGTAATCTTTGTGATTTTACCTATCATGTAACTGAATAGTAAATAAATTTCTGATTTGGTTTGATATTCGATTTCAAAACCTACATATTTTCTTAAATAAAATCTTATATTACTTTAAGTATTTCGTATTTTTTATTAATTAATTAAAATGCAAAAAGCCTATCTCATTAAATTTTAAATCGTAAAAACACTAACACTAAAAAGCAGTGTTCTGAAAAATTTCAGTAAAATTTATTTTTCTATCATCAAGTTAAACATGAAAATATTTGGAACATGTTCTGAGATGGAGCAACTCCAAATTTGCATCAGGAGGGTTGAATGAAATATGAAATAGTATCTCGTGAAATCTTATAGGCGACGATCAGTGTCAGATAAGCTCATTATAAAAAGACTTACTGTCAACTATAGTGTATGAAGATACAAAATGTCACTCCAATCCAAACTATAGTAGAGTCTCTATAATCCGTCACTCGCCATTCCGACAAGTCCGATAACCTAACAGTCCGTAGGGTACTGCACATGTAATTTTCGGTTACCACTTATCGATGTATGCGACAGAGAGAGACTGGTGTACAGTACGTGTATGCTGTCAGTCGTTAAATGTTTGTTGCACACGTGGTTGACAAAACAGTTACAGCCGTGATTAATACGATAAACTAATAGGCAGCAATAGGCTGAAAACGTTAGTTATTAAAAATATTCTCTCAGTAAATGCAGAAGTGTGGCCGTAAATTTGTAATTTATCTCTCCTGGGCACGTCCGAACTGATAAACTAATCTGTGAACCAAGTGTGATTTTTACT